TGAAATGTAACAAGCAGCAAGTGGTATAGGCAAGTTGTGTCGCCTACGCTGAAGGCCAAAGAGGGGGGTGATGAAAAGTAATGCATGGCGTGGGGTCCGGGGCCCGCTTAAGGGCCCCGGAAAATTTTGGATTCTAGATGTTCTACATGGTGCGATCTCAGGTAATATCTAACCACTTTAACCAATTGTGTTCGTAAAAGATCATCCTTTAAACATCGAGTTTGGAGTCATTGAATCAGTTATCCTGAAAACTCTAAAATCAAACTGTACTCTACAAGATTTATTCGGCGATGAAAAAAAGTGGGTGGGACAAACGATACGATACCCCCAACTTTAAGCAGGGGCGCCAATCGCTTCTTAAAAGTGGGGGGACATACCTTGATCAGAACTAATGCGAGCGCGAAGCCCGTACGGCGTGGGGTTCGGGCCCGCTTAAGGGCCCCGAAAGAAATTGGATTCTAGATGCTCTGTGGTGTGATTTGAAGCCATTTCGACCACTTTAACCAATAGCAAAAGAAAATAAATTGAACATCGTTTTCGATGTTGGAGTCATTGAATCAGCTTTTCTGAGCTAGACTTTGGGTCGCGGCCCCCCACAAAATTTGATTCTGTAGATGCTCTGTGCTGCGATCTGTGGCAATTTACTTTAACCAGTATTTTCTTAGCGAAAGATAATAATATTATTTAAACATCACTTTCGAGGTTGAAGTCATTGAATAAGCTAGGCATATTATATTCTCGGCTAAAGGCGTTGGGTTCGGGGCCTGCTGGAGGGCCCCGAAAAAAAATTGATTCTAGATGCTCTGTGGTGCGATCTGAGGCAATTTCTGCCTACTTTACCTAATAATTTCTTTGCAAAAGATAATAATTTAAACATCATTTTCGAGGTTGAAGTCATTGAATAAGCTATTCTCAGCTAAAGGTGTGGGGTTCGGGGCCCGAATGTTAAGGGCCCCGAAAAAAATTTGGATTCTAAATGCTCTGTGGTGCCCGTGCGCTGTTGACCCGGTAGCTGATTTCGATGTCCCTGGTGTTGGGTTGGGCATGGCATGTGATATAATGTGCCCAGCTGCTTGAATGTCTCTGTGTTTTTGATGTTCATGTTGTTGATTTGGATAACCTAGGAGGGGTAGAGAGTGTTGGGGTTGATGGTTGTGAAGTGTGATATCATCGTCTCTGTCTTTAAAGTTGATCTTGAGATCGATATTGACGAAAACGTCGTTGAGGAGGGCGGCAGCGGTTTGGAGGTATGCGTGCAGGTGCAGTGTTGAGGAAAAGGATGAAATCATCGGCATATCCGGACCAGGAGAGTTCGCATGTCATTGATGGAGCTTTTAGGCGGTCTTTCTGCAATTTGCTTGGTCGCCCAGATTTGTGGCGTCAGATTGTAGATCGCGTCAATAGGGGCTAGGTTGATGTAGATGGATTTTAAAAAATCAGGACTATCTTTACTTTCCTTACGATTCTTGAGGCGTTTGAGGCATTCCTCATTTTCCATTTTGAAGGGGGGTCATGGTTGATATCGGCTTTGATGTTTTATTTTTTGGAGGAAGGTCGTTTACAACAGTGGATGATCGAGTTCCGCTGGGTGGAAGGTGGGTTGGATGGGATTGAAGCGGTTCTTGAAGTGGGCAAGAATTTGGTCTGGTATAGGTAAGTAATGCCAGTCTTGGTTCTAAGTAGAGTCACTTGGAGTTTGGCGGTTGCGATCAACTTTTCTATGTTCCGCTGGGTATTGAGTGAGCTTATGAGCTGAGTTTCTGCTTTGAAATGCTCATTTAGTGAGCTGACGGGTTCTGATCAGGATCAACCTGGAAATTTTTTTGATTTTGATCCTTGTGATTCTCCTGAACGTCTGACTTCGTCCCGTTTTCAAAACAAGTTCTGCAACGTTGGATCGTTTGTGTAAATCGATTTGCGATGGGATTTCGATTTTTATGGCAGGGTAGCGTGGGCGGCAGTCTGGAGCGCGTCAACAAGGTTCACGTTGGAATCGTCGACAGTGGTGATGTCAAGACGTTGAGCTTCTCCTTGACCAGCTCGCTATAGACTGCCCTGGTGTCTGGGTCTTTAGCTCATCTAGATCGAGTGTTCGTGTTAGTTTGGAGCAACGTAGACGAAAACGCGCCTGCAAGTTCACTGATGCCTTGCATCAAGAAACACTCTTGAAACTTTGCTTTTAAAGTGTCGTGAAGAAATTCAACGAAATTCAACGAACCCACATTGTGGTGAATGTAACAGTTGTTATGATTTGTTACATAATTTTTGAAAGTTCGGCCATATAACTGTACCTTTAGCCCTTCATTTGTTTTATAAGACATGCTTATATGGGGGTATTAGGCAGTGGTGGATTGTGGGGATTGTTAAGGTTGTTAACCATCATCTTCCGTCCGGCCAAAGTCATTTTTGTTCATTTTATGTTAGGCTTAAATATGCCACCTGGAGAGAAAATCACAATGTTCCCGAAAAAAATCGTTTAGTAACACTCGTCATAAGATCTTGATTCATTTGCTTTAGGCCTTTGGTCCCTCTTATTAATTTTCTCTGTGTTAACTTCAACACCCTCCGTCAACCCCCTTTAAAAGCACATGATCCGCCACGCACTTGGGTAGGCTTTTATCCCCACACAAATTTTATCTCTCATAAAATATGGCGTGAAAATTTGCCGAAGTATGCCTATAATAAAGGTTTTATCATTCGGACCCATTGCATTATATACTCTACTTATTTGCAAAAACCATTGCGTTTCATGTCACAAAAACTAATTGTGTAATTTCGTAATGCTATCTCGTTATTTCGCAATGTATAGGATTATTTCTCCATACTACGTTGCGTAATTTCTCCATATATTCCATTAATTTACAATACTATTGCGTTATTTCGCAATACTACTGCGCTATTTCGCATAAGTATTGCGTTCTTTTCAAAAATTATTGCGTTAATTTGCAACAATATTTTGTTTCAATTTTAAAACCTGGCACGAACGGGCTTCCGTAAAATACAGCTTGAAGTAAATAAACTCCTGAGCACAAACAAGATACTAGCCATATCAAACTTACAGGTATTGGAGATTGGAGAGTCCGCTAAATGAAGCAGCTGGAATCGACACGAGCGAAAGATTTACCATCTTACTATCGAATCAAAAGGGGAATATAACAAAACTGAAATACACTGCAAAATATATACATTTAGATTGGTGTTTATAGTACTACTGAAGTATGATTTTCCTTTCAGTTTTAATTTTTAATCTCTATTTAATTAAACTACCCATAAGGCATGAACATAAATTTGCCATTTCATTTTAATTGAACCATTGGGCAGATTAAGACAATTTTTCAAATAATCACTCGGGTGGGACTCGAACCCACGAGCAGGAGGGCGTGGGTTCGAGTCCCACCAAGTGATTTTTTTCCAACTTTCACTGGGGAGGTTACACTGAGTATACAGTGTTTATATATCGGTGAAGGGCAAAACCTAATATTGATGTACATTACCACGGCGCAAATATTCTTCCATCTTAATATGAATATTCAAATGCGGTACCCGCTGCTATGTACATCATATTCAAACCAGCCAACCGATCCTCTAAGCCCGGTGGTCGAGTGGTAGCACGTCTGCACTAGAGAGCAGGAGGTCATGGGTTCGAGTCCCACCTGAACGATTGTTGTTATGACTTACATTAACGAGCTTTAAAAAAAAAAATCAGTTTACTTGCATATTCGTTACTGCAGCTAACGACAACAAAGTGTCTGATATTGGATACAGCTTGCAGCGACTTCATGCTCTTGGATAACTACCAAACACGAAACGAACCTAACAGATGATCTCGAAGAATGTCATACAGCCAAAATTACTGTCTCATCAAGCTGAAGTTAGTTATGCGATAGAATATGAGCGTACGCTAGCGGCGATTTGCAAACAAAAGAGATCACTCCAAAGAGAGCTATTTTGATCACATGTATTTCTATCAAGACCACACAATTGCGACAATAACATTATCTGTTAAATCAAAATATAGAAAAATGACTGATTACATCCTGATTAAAATTTTCTGGGCTTAACAGCTACTTTAAGGAATGTTACTCTTAACTCAAAAGAAAACGCTTAACGGTAACTTTGGAGAGAGTCGGATTGATGCAAAAGCTCATGATGCAATACAGATTGCACTGTCAGCTGTGACATCGAAAGCAAACAGGAACCGTATCAAACTTACAACGTGTGGAGATTGATCAGCCCGCTAAATATACCGTTGGGAATCCTTTGAAGAGGAAGACTGTCCATCGTACTGTCAAGTAAAAAAAAACCCAGAAATGTAAATGTATGGTGCCCTCCAAAAAAGATAACACTAAAACATTGGGAAAATGTGACCAAAATATGTACTACTAATGACCATTATTATGGTTTTATCATAGACTGGGGAGCAGTAAGCTTATTTCCAATTATCTTGGAGGCGTTGCCCTGCATGAAGCACTAAATCCGTACTTTATGATAAAACCATAATAATGGTCGTTAAGTTCATATTCTGTTGATATTATACCTGTGTTTGTCTTTCTTATAGACACCCTGTACAACAAAATATTTCTTATTTACACTCCAAGGACATAACATTGCAACATAATCATCTGAACCCACATTGTGGTGAATGTAACAGTTATTATGATTTGTTACATTATTTTCCTTTAAAAAAAAAAGTACATTAATAATGTCACTTCGCGATTGACGTTATATCAGTTTGCTCAGAAGAAAAAGTAAAACAAATTTTCTGCCATGGGCCTATATTTTATTCATTTGGTTTACTGCTTCGTTATTCTAAGGATAGGCAGGATACCGGTACTTGTGTAACGAGAAACTTCAATGCTCATGAGAAAGTTCGGCTTCTGTACATTGTCGGTTTGCACAGACTTGTTGGAGGGGAGTTGTGTGGAGCAACCTGTTTCTGATATTTGTCGGCATTGAAGAGCATTTTTTTTCGTAGTAAGGTCTGAAACTCCACGGATGATATGACAACAGTAGCTGTCTTGCTGATCTCCGATAAAGGTCGTGACGACAGAGGTGCCGCAGATTTGGTGAATTCTCGCATTGGTGTAGTGAAACTTGTGTTCCTCACCAAAATGCGCTGACTTAGCGAAATCCACCACGGACCACTCTGCGTAGAAAAGTCCCTATACACAGCATCCAAATGTTGTCTTTATACCTCCTCAGTGGGTTCCAGTTTTGGCTGGAATAGGTCAGTGTACTTTTAATCAGGCTACCAAGGTATGGAACTAGCGATGTCACATTATTTTATCCAATGATTTACTAACAGTGCCTTGTAAGGGGCGCAATTTGTGCGTGCGCTGTTGACCCGGTAGCTGATTTCGATGTCCCTGGTGTTGGGTTGGGCATGTGATATAATGTGCCCAGGTACTGGAATTTCTCGATGTTTTTGATGTTCATGTTGTTGATTTGGATAACCTAGGAGGGGTAGAGGGTGTTGGGGTTGATGGTTGTGAAGTTTGATATCATCGTCTCTGTCTTTAAGGTTGATCTGGAGATCGATATTGACGAAAACGTCGTTGAGGAGGGCGTCAGCGGTTTGGAGGTATGGCGTGCAGGTGCAGTGTTGACGAAAAGGATGAAATCATCGGCATATCCGGACCAGGAGAGTTCACATGTCGTCGATGGAGCTTTTAGGCGGTCTTTTCACGTATGTTCATGCCCATGCCTTGGTGCACTACTCAGTTTTTTCCCGCAAGCGTAAGGGACCAAAAGATTCTGAAATCGTACAGACGACAGATGGCGCCATTAATCTGCACCCGTCAATCAGCCGAAAACAATATCACATACCGGGTAATCATCCACAATTTACAGACGACCTAACTCGTGAAAATTACTGAGAACATTAAATATGAATTTTACAATCATGTCATGAGCTGAGATTGTCCAAATGTAAAAATTACTCTAAAAAAAGAGATTTTAAGAGAGATATTTTTTACCCGAAAAAAATTTCTAACCCTGCGTGAATCAATGGAATTTTAAAAATATTTCTCGAGTTTTCTTGGACAAATTAAAGGCAATGTCTTTAATTTAGGCAAAGAATAGATGAAAATAATTTCCGAGTTATTGCGAATAGGACAGTTCAAGACAGAAGTGTACACGTTTTTTCCGCTGACCCATAGGGCAGCGTGATTTTCCACATGGCGCAAGCTGGACTAGTGCTCCATGTGGACGGTCCAACATGGCCTTCTGTGTACGGTGACATCGTTTTTGACGGCGCGCGGTTCGTACATGTAAACGTAAGGACGGAAACTTTAAAAACAATACCCGCCTAAGGAACGTAAACCTAAATAATGAAAGGTTTGCGGAAACGCCATGTGCGAATAATTTCTCAACTAAGAGAATGGTTCTGAAAAGAACCAGAGGTATAAACTCGACGTTCCGGTCAGTTTGCTCTGACCGTCCTCAGGAGGGGCCTAAACTCTAAGGAAGTGAATACTTAAGTACCAAAGGGTGAAGTCAATGAAGTGTGAACGTAAACCTATTCGCAATAACACGTAAATCCTGTAATAATATTTTTAATATCTCATTCAAATGCTGTGATAAGTGGCATGTTTGGGGAAACTGGAGAACACTAAAAAAAACTAAAGTTGGCCCTTTTGCTGATGATTGCATGGAAATGGAAAGCAAACAACGATCTAAAACGACATTTACTTGGTATATCGAATTTTTATCACAAAAATATGGCAAATAAAATTAAAATAAACTCATTTCATTTCATCCGGTTGCATTGTATTTCACACAATAGCAAAATGAACAGGATGTTTTCAGATGAAAAGTGGTGTGTCTTTCCTCTCCGCGGCGCTGCCATTTCGACAGTCACCGGCATTAGCCGAGATTTTGGCGCATGCGCACAAACTAAGTTGAAGGGATGAACATTCTGCAATTTGCTTGGTGGTCCAGATTTGCGGCGTCAGGTTGTAGATCGCGTCAATAGGGGCTGGGTGGATGTACATGAATTTAATACATTTGGAAGGACTATCTTTTCCTTACGATTCTTGAGGCGTTTGAGGCATTCCTCAATTTCCAATTTGGAAGGGGGGTCATGGTTGATATCGGCTAAGATGTTGTATTTTCTTGGAGGAAGGTCGTTAACAACAGCGGATGATCGAGTTCCACTGGGTGGAAGGTGGGTTGGATGGGATTGAAGCGGATCTTGAAGTGGGCAAGAATTTGGTCTGGTTTAGGCAGGTAATGCCAGTCTTGGTTCTAAGTAGAGTCACTTGGAGTTTGGCAGTTGCATCAACTTTTCTATGTTCCGCTGGGTATTGAGTGAGCTTATGAGCTGAGTTTCTGCTTTGAAATGCTCTTTAGTGAGCTGACGGGTTCTAATCAGGATCAGCCTGGACACTTTTTTGCTTTAGATCCCTTGGATTCTCCTGAACGTCTGACTTCGTCTTGCTTTCGAAACAAGTTCTGCAACGTTGGATCGTTTATGTAAATCGATTTGCGATGGGATTTCAAATATAGCAGCGTAGTGGAGACTGGAGGGCATCGACAACGTTCACGTTGAAATCGTCGACAGTGGTGATGTCAAGACGTTGAGCTTCTCCTTGACCAGCTCGCTATAGGCTGCTCTTGTGTCTGGGTCTTTAGCTCATCTAGATCGAGTGTTCGTGTTGGTTTGGAGCGACGTAGACGAAAACGCGCCTGCCAGTTTACTGATGCCTTGCATCAAGAAACACTCTTGAAACTTTGTTTTTAAAGTGTCGTGAAGAAATTCAACGAATTTTTGAAAGTTCGGCCATATAACTGCACCTTTTGCCCTTCATTTGTTTTGTAAGACATGCTTTTATGGGGCATAAGGCAATGGTGCATTGTGGGGATTGTTGAGGTGGTGAACCATCATCTCCCGTCCGGTAAAAGTCGTTTTTGTTCATTTTATGTTAGGCTTGAAAATGAAATGCCAACTGGAGAGAAAATCACAATGTTCCCGAAAAAAATCGTTTAGTAACACTCGTCATAAGATCTTGATTCATTTGCTTTAGGCCTTTGGTCCCTCTTATTAATTGTCTCTGTGTTAACTTCAACACCCTCCGTCAACCCTCTTTAAAAGCACATGATCCGCCACGCACTCGGGTAGGCTTTTATCCCCACACAAATTTTATCTCTCATAAAATATGGCGTGAGAATTTGCCGAAATATGCCTATAATAAAGATTTATCATTCGGACCCATTGCATTATACTCTACTTATTTGCAAAAACCATTGCGTTTCATGTCACAAAAACTAATTGTGTAATTTCGTAATGCTATCTCGTTATTTCGCAATGTATTGGATTATTTCTCCATACTACGTTGCGTAATTTCTCCATATATTGCATTAATTTACAATACTATTGCGTTATTTTGCAATACTACTGCGCTATTTCGCATAAGTATTGCGTTCTTTCCCAAAATTATTGCGTTATTTCGCAAAAATAATTTGTTTCACTTTTAAAACCTTGCACGATCGGACTTCTGTAAAATGAACACAAACAAATAAACACAAACAAAATACAAAGCATTTCAAACTTACAGCCATTCGAGATTGGAGAGTCCGCTAAATGAAGCAGCTGGAATCGACACGAGCGGAAGATTTCTCATCTCACTATCGAATCAAATGGGGAATATAACAAAATTTAAATACACTGCAAAATATATACATTTAGATTGGTGTTAATAGTACTATTGAAGAATTATTTCCTTTCAGTTTTTAATCTTTATCCAAATAAACGGCCTATAAGGCATGAACGTAAATTTGCCATTTCATTTTAATTTAACCATTGGGCAGATTAAGACCATTTTTCAAATAATCACTCGGGTGGGACTCGAACCCACGAGCAGGAGGGCGTGGGTTCGAGTCCCACCGAGTGATTTTTTCCCAACTTTCACTCGGGAGGTTACACTGAGTTTACAGTGTTTATATATCGGTGAAGGGCAAAACCTAATATTGATGTACATTACCACGGCGCAAATATTCTTCCATCTTAATATGAATATTCAAATGCGGTACCCGCTGCTATGTACATCATATTCAAACCAGCCAACCGATCCTCTAAGCCCTGTGGTCGAGTGGTAACACGTTTGCACTAGAAAGCAGGAGGTCGTGGGTTCGAGTCCCACCTAAACGATTTTTGTTATGACTTACATTAACGAGCTTTAAAAAAATTCAGTTTACTTGCATATTCGTTACCGCAGCTATTCATCAACGACAAGTGTGTGATGTTGGATAGAGCTTGCAGCGACTTCATGCCCTTGGATAACTACCAAACACGAAACGAACCTAACAGATGATCTCGAATGATGTCATACAGCCAAAATTACTGTCTCATCAAGCTGAAGTTAGTTATGCGATAGAATATGAGCGTACAAAATATTTCTAATTTACATTTCAAAGACATAACATTGCAACATAATCATCTGAACCCACATTGTGGTGAATGTAACAGTTATTATGATTTGTTTACATATATTCTTTTACTAAAAAAAAATAATAATATTGTCACTTCCCGATTGACGTTATATCAGTTTGCTCAGAAGAAAAAGTAAAACAAATTTTCTGCCATGGGCCTACATTTTATTCATTTGGTTTACTGCTTCGTTATTCTAAGGATTGGCAGGATACTGGTACTTGTGTATCGAGAAACTTCAATGCTCATGAGAAAGTTCGGCTTCTGTACATTGTCGGTTTGCACAGACTTGTTGGAGGGCAGTTGGGGTGGAGCAACCTCGTTTCCGGTATTTGTCGGCATTGAAAAGCAGTTTTTTTTCGTGGTGAGGTCTGAAACTTCACGGATGATATGATAACAGTAGCTGTCTTGCTGATCTTCGATAAAGGTCGTGACGTCAGAGGTGCCGCAGATTTGGTGAATTCTGGCATTGGTGTAGTGAAACTTGTGTTCCTCATCACATTGCATCGACTTGCGAAATCCACCACGGAGCATTCTGCGTAGAAAGTCCCTATACACAGCATCCAAATGTTGCCTTTGCCTCCTCAGTGGGTTCCAGTTTTGGCTGGAATAGGTCAGTGTACTTCTAATCAGGCTACCAAGGAATAAAACTCGCAATGTTACATTTTATCCAATGATTTACTAACAGTTCCTTGTAAGCAGCAAAATTTGTGCGTGCGCAGTCGTCCCGGTAGCTGATTTCGAGGTCGCAGGTGTTGGGTTGGCCATGTAATATTTGTTTGCTTGGGTATCTGCATCTGCTGGATACTGCAACAATCTCCGCTACTGGATATGTAAGCGCGTTGCAGGCGCGTGGTGGCTATAGCTTGACGCTAGCAGGTAATTGAATGTCGATCGGTACTTTTTGATGTCCATGTTGTTGATTTGGATAGGATAGACAGGGAGTGTTGGTGTTGATGGTTGTGAATTTGATATCATCGTCTATGTCTTTGTAAGGTTGATCTTGAGACCGAATTTGATGAAACGTCGTTGAGGAGGGCGGCAACGTTTTTGAGGGCAGGTGCAGTGTTGAGGAAAAGGATTTAATATTCGGCGTATCCGGTATCCGGACCAGGAGAGTTGGATGTCGCCGATGGAGCTTTTAGGCGGTCTTT